AGGCAGGCCACTGCCAGGGCCCCCACCCGGCCTCGCAGCCCTGAGTTAACTCAGGCTCCAGGATAAACACCCATTCAGCCACACAAGGCCCCTTTGTCCTGGGAGAGAGGCTCCCGGCCCAGGATGCTGCCTGGTGGCCGGTGTCCTCGGCGCAGCCCCAGGCCCGGCCGGCTGCCCCGACACGTCCAGCCGCCCCACATGGCCTTCTCAGGGCAGGCTTCAAGCTTGGCTCAGAGAGGCCCCAGTGGGGGACAGGGCCCTGGGCAGCTGTCAGAGGAGCCAGGAGGCCAGAGTGGCAGGGCTGAGGAGGATCTGGCCGCTGCCTTGTGTCCTGAGACCTCGGCAGAGCAGACCTGACCCGGCAGAGGGAGCTGGGCGCCCTGAGGCCGGACATGCCTGTGGCAGTGGGGAGGCAGAGGCGGGCCGTGTTGCCCAGGAGGCAGCTGGTGAGCTCTGGAGGCTCCAGGGCCCTGCTGCTCCCCCATATCCTCAGCCCTGAGCAGGAGAGGGAGCCTCACACCCTGTGCTTGGTCCATCTCCCCCAGCCAGTGGTCACCGGCCTGTATCTGTGTCTTGTCTGTGCAGTGGCCGTGGCAGGCCCTCAGAGGCCCTCAGCCAGGGACTGCCCCTATCATCACCCAGGCTCAGGGCTGAGATGGGGGGGTCCTTTTGGGGCGGGGAGGGGTGCGATGGTCCCAGGAGGCCATCAGGAGGTGCTGCAGGAGCATGGGTGGGCTGTGGCAGGGGAGAGGAATGGCCCCCAAAGCCCCCTGGGGCCCATCCTGTCTGTGCCCCAGCCATGCCTGGCCATGGGTGCTGTGGCCATCTGTCTCTGTGCCAGGCTCCCTCCTCCAAATATGCAAAGAACAGACCCACCTCCCCACCCGTGGGGACACCCCAGTGGCCACGCAGGCTGAAGCCCCACCTACTTCTCAGCCTCCCTGGCCGTCCACGTGGCTTCCCAGCACCCCGGCCCCACCCCTCCAGGGTGTCACTCACCTGGTCCGGTCCCTGCATTGTCCGTGGTGGCAGTGACCCCTGGCGGTGGCTGGGCGTGCTGTTGCGCCCACCTGAGGGCCAGTCCTGGGCTGCTGCTCACCAGGCCCACGGGGCAGCTTACAGAGCCTCGGGAACAGGTCCTGGGACTGTGACCCCCAGGCTCAGACACTCCTGGGGGCACACGACTGCAGCCGGGTGTAGGCCACAGTCCCTCTGTGTGGGGATCCCCACTCTCCACCGATGGGAAAAAATGGCTTTCCTGACACAGCAGCAGCACCAGCCCCCGGAAGAGGTTACAGCGCCACCCTCAGTCCCGCCCAGCCCTAGGAGGCCCTGGCCCTCTGGTTCGTGCTGGGGTCCTAGGTGCCATGGCTGAACCTGGCAGCCAGCATTTCTCAGCTCTGTGCCCAGCGTTCCTGGGATGCCCCAGCTGGGCGGAGGCTCTGCCAGGGCTCCTGGAAGTGGCCTGAGCTCCAGTGTACCGGCCCACGTGTGAGACCTGCAGGGGCTGCTGGAGATGGGGCTGGGACTTGGGGAGGAAACCCTGCTATCTGGAGACAGGTCTTCCTCAGGGAAGCTGGCTTTGCTCTGAAGCCGCCACGTCCCTGACGCTGATGGCAGCTGAGCAGCTGCACTGCAGGGGCCTCCCTCCACACCCACACCCAGGTCGGGCTCAACCAGCTGGGGCTGAGGCTCTCCATGTCGGCACCAGCATCAGCACCATCACACACACTTGGCTGTTCATGGTTTCTGTTTTACATGAAAACTCGAGTCCATCTAACTGATGGGTGTACTTGAGGCCAGAACCGTGTGGCTGACCCAAGGTGGCGGGGATAGACTGGGCAGGCCTGAGCCCCCTCCAGCCACTGGCTGTCCCTGCGGGTTGGCTCAGCCTCAGGCCAGAGCAGAGAAACCTTTGCTTCACTGAGACCAGAGCAGCTTCAGAGTTTACATTGAAAGGAAACTTTATTTAGTCATCTTTTCAAAGCAATCGAGTTTTAAGACATAAAAAAGAAAATGACACCTAAGAGAATTGGACAGTACAGCTGGATAGACGCACAGACAGGAGGGGCTGCAGCTCTGGGTCAGATCTTCGCCATCTTGGAGATGAGGTCGTCACAGATCCTGGTCAGCTCCTCATTCTCTTTAGTCTGGAGGAGAAAGATGAGTTTCGGAAGGAGCAGCAGGCCCAGGGGCCTTCCAGAAGCTGCTGCCACAGGGCCCCGTCGGCTGGGCTCCCCCACCCACCTTCTCCTCCACGGTCCTCTCTAGCGACTGGACCCGCATCTGCTCCTTCCTCAGGCTGGCCTGGAGGGCCAACGCTTCCGCCTGGGCCTTGCTCCGAACCTGGGCGATCTCCTCGTTTGCCCTGGAGGAACAGGGGCAGGGGCAGGGCAGAAGCTGAGCTGGGGCCCAGGCACCCACTCTCCCTCTGGGGGCCCTCGCCCAGCACTCACAGCTGCAGCTTCTCCTCGGCGTGGGCCTTCAGGGCCTGGTACCTCTGGCCTGCCTGGGTGATCCTCGCCAGGTAATCCTCCACACACTTCTTGAGTGATTCTTCATTCTAGGAAGGGGCAGGCATTAGCTGTGGGCACCACACGATCTGCGAGCACCCAGGCTCGGTGTCTGGGGGTCATCAGTCATGATGCAGCACCTCCAGTTTTCCTTTTGAAAACATCCCCTCTACACGTCCCCAGCTCACCCCCTCTGGAGTTTCAGAGATGCCAGGCCTAACCCTGGTACCCTTGCAGCTGCACCCAGGACCACTGACCGCTTGGCCTGTCTCCCTCTGGGGCTGAACCCTGTGCTTTGGGGGCAGGCAGGGGAGGCCGACTAGAGCCACATGGTCCCCAGACACATCTGCTCCCCACAGCCCTGGGGTTCCTCGCCCCCAAGTGGCCTTTGCTCGCTCAGCACACCTGCCCTCTTCCTGCAGTGCCTGTGGCAACCTCACAGCCCAGCCTCCCTCCTCTGTTGCAGCCATATCTCCCAAGAGCACCCTCAGCACCATGGCCTCTCCCTGAGCCCTGACCCAGCACGCAGCCCACGATGCCCTGTGCAGGCCATGCCTCCCCTAAACCCACAGCCCTGTGTGCCTCTGTGGTGGAAAGTTCTCAACGGCATCTCTCCAGAAGGCGGCGACCAGAAGCTCTTGGGTGTACACAGGTCAAGCATCCCACCACAGCACTGCCTCTCCCTCTGGCTTGGGCTGCTGTCCACGCTGGCCCCCAACTTACCCTCTGCTTCCCTCCTCCGACCTGTGCTCTCTGAATTGCTCACTGTGTACCTGTTAGGAATTTCCATTTGGTTCTTTTCTACTTTCTGTATTTTTTGTTTTTTTTGAGATGGAGTCACACACTCACCCAGGCTGGAGTGAAGTGGCACGATCTTGGGTCACTGCGACCTCCACCTCCTGGGTGCAAGCGATTCTCCTGCCTCAGCCTCGGAGTAGCTGGGACTACAGGCCTGCGCCACCATGCCTAGCTAATTTGAGACAGAGTTTTGCTCTGTTGCCCAGGCTGGAGTGCAATGGCATGATCTTGGCTCACTGCAACCTCTGCCTCTTGGGTCCAAGCGATTCTCCTGTCTCAGCCTCCTGAGTAGCTGGGGTTACAGGTGCACGCCACCATGCCTGGCTGATGTTTGTATTTTTAGTAGAGGTGGGATTTCACCATATTGGTGAGGCTGGTCTTGAACTCCTAACCTCCCATTCACCTCAGCCTCCCAAAGTGCTGGGATCACAGGCATGAGCCACCACACCTGGCCCAATTTTAGTGGATGGGGTTTCAACATATTGGTGAGGCTGGTCTGAAACTCCTGACCTCAGGTGATCCAGCTGCCTTGGCCTCCCAAAGTGCTGGGATTACAGGTGCGAGCCACTGTGCCTGGCCTTTTGTCTTTTTAGTAGAGACAGGGACAGGGATTTTCTGTATTGGCCAGGCTAGTCTTGAACTCCTGACCTCATGCAATCTGCCCATCTTGGTCTCCCAAAGTGGATTCTTTTCTAGTTTCCAGGTCTCTACTGAGGCAATGCTTTTTTTTTTTTAAAAATACAAAAATATGGAACGCTTCACGAATTTGCGTGTCATCCTTGCGCAGAGGCCATGCTAATCTTCTCTGTATCGTTCCAATTTTCTTATATGTGCTGCCGAAGCGAGCACGGCAATACTCTCTTGAACACAGAAGACGATTACCTTCAAGTCTGAGTCTGCACTGGGTCCTCCATGATGGGGTTAAGCGTACAAAGAAGCCTCCATGAGAAAGTAGGGAGGTGGCCGGTGGGAACGGAGGCACAGGCCTGCCCCGGGGAGAGGTGAGGCCAGGACAGCAGCTCGGACCACAGCCCAAGCTGAGGGATGGCCAGCAGAGCTGCCGTGTCCTCAAGCCAGTGGCACCGCGTGAGGGGTCCCGCTGCTGCGGCGGGCACTCTGCTGCTGCCAGCTCCAGCGGCTGGGAATCCCGTGGGTCTAAACATTTTTTTTTTTAATTTTAGAGACGGGGGTCTGGGTCTATGGCCCAGGCTGGAGTGAAGGGATACAATCACAGCTCACTGCAGCCTCGACCTCCTGGGCTCAAGTGGTCCTCCCACCTCAGCCTCCTGAGTCGCTGGGACCACAGGCACA